AATGTACTTTATCTGAATACTTTCCATGGCCATCTCCAGTCTTTCTGATGTAAACTATTAGAACATTGCAAAAGTTTGTGCTGATGAGAAAATGTAAAACAATGGAAGTTGGGCACAAACTTTTGCAATGATCTGATATTTGTTTTATCAGGATCAGAGTGTAGTATCTGCCTGGAGAAAGGAAAAAAAATATATATTCCACGACTGAGCAAGCAGCTGGCCCAATTACTAAAACTCTCATTAAACAAAAACTACTAAATATATTTCAAATGAGCTATTAAAATAAGGTATAACCATGAAGTGGTGGTAGTGGTAATAATAATAATGATAATAATAACAACAATGATAGTAGTAGTACTACTTGTTATGGGATCCACCCCTTTTTCATACAAGTGGACTCGACCAGTATGTACTTGGACTGCTGCCGTTAAATACCCAGAGTCAGCCAGAGCAGGGAGATTGAGATTGAGTTGGAGGTAGAGTAATAGTGTGAGGTAACTGCTTGTAGAAGTCACAGTTACAAGCACGTAGACTCTAAGGAAGTCCTACTTCAAGACTGGATTTACCAGACTGTATATATATATATATATATATATATATATATATATATTATTATTGCTACTAACCGTGTTTCTGGATTTACTAACCATATTACCAATTGTATTATTGTGTAAATACATTTATTTGTTATATTTCATTCCTGCGTTTGTCATTCATTGGAGACTGAATTTCATCTCGGAATCCACAACACTACTACTTGTAATATTCGTCATTTCCTGATATTGAAACATTCAATATTTATTGACTAAACAGCTAGTTCTACTGTCGATTGAAGTTTATTAAATTTTTCTATTAAAACACATTTTCATGAAAATAGGCATCTCAAGTCCAGTGTCATCACTCTTTCCAGTATTAATGGTGGCTTCTTTGGAAAGGAAGTAGTTTAGAAGGTCAATATCTTGATTATGTCATTATTTTCTCTTCAAGTTACATGTGCTATCCCTTTTAGTTGTTGCTGCTGTTGGTAGTCATTAAGTCATGTGATTTCTGTTATTCGGTAAAGTTCTTTGTTTGTGATTTTGTAGCACCAGTCCATGAGGTCCAAAGAAAGATATTCCTCTGAAAGAACTACAGGGTTCATTTGCTGGAAGACATTTTTCATCATGGATTTTAGAAAGCAATTATATACAGCTGACATTTCTAAATGGGCTGTGTACCATACCTAACCTCCATATGAAAGTCTACATTTAACAAGGCTATTCTAGAACATGAGTTGAGTTCTTTGATTAATGTTTTGCTTTTATAGCAACTTTCAGTATTAAATAAAGCAACCCCTTTTACGACCTATGGATGTCATGCATGGTGCCAAATCTGTTCAGGAATATCTAAATTGTCAGATGTATACAACTACTTCCTAAGATCAATGGTGAAAAAAGGCTTTGAGTGACTGAAGCCTGACGGTCTTAGCAAAGATCATTTATTTTTTGAACATTGTGGACTGGGGCTACAGAATCACTAACAAAGAATGCTGAGAAAAATTTACTTGTAAAAAACACGAAAATAAAAATATTTTATCTTTTTATATTTAAAAACCTTTCTCACCTTTTTCTTTGTTGTGGGTTGATTCAAATCTGCAACACTAGATTGGAAACTAAGTCTTATCATTTTACTGTTTAAATAGCTAGATGCAACTGTAAGTCCTATTCTAACAGTTTCTTTTCTTTCTCGCACTTCTCACCTGTGGAACTCTCTTCCAACTCTTTGCTTTCCTGTCAACTACAATCTACAAAAATTTAAATGCAACATAAATTGCCATCTTCTGTCTTTCTGAATCCTGTTCTTTTATCACTAATATTTTCTCATCTTCATTCACTCTCAGTAACTCCTTGTGTTTTAATGGCATTATTGATTACTTGGGGGGAAATGATTAAAAAAAAAAAGACAATATCAAATCTATGTTTAGATAAAAATACAAACAGGCAATGGGGAGTGGAAAAGAAAAAGATACAGGCAATGGGTGAAAGAAAAGAAGAGGCATGAGGTAATAGATAATTTTATTTGTCAAAACTTGGGAAATTTCCACATCTTCACATTTTTATTTATACAACATAAAATGCTTGCAATGTTCAAAGGTTAAGCATCTAATTTATTTTGTACAATTGTTTATGAAAGCTGGTAGGAACATAATAAAATGTTGTAAATGTTTCTTTTTGACAAAACATGGATACTCATTATTGTGTTTATGTGGGTTAAATATAGCAGCAGCATGTAAACTGAGCTTGAGTAAAAGTAACTTTTGACTAAAGCAAAATTTCAATAACAAAAACTTATCAGCAGAAATTAAAAGATTATCTTTGGCAAAGTGCACAAATACTGTAATCCTGGAGTGAAATACTGAACCAGATGTAAATAAAAAACTTTTTTTTTCATTATTTTTAAGAGGTGCTATGCTAGCTTAAAATAAACTACAAAAATCTATTTAGTGCACTTCACATCATAAAATATGCATTTTTAAAAAACAAAAAATTATTAAATTTGAGACTTTAAAAAGTACCATTAAAATATACATTATATTTGGAGAATAAATTATTGGCTGCACTTGAAGCAAATATGTGTCACATTACCATGGCAATACTATAGTGACAGTTATCTATTGAGTATTTTATATGTGTGTGTCAGGGGTTAAGACATCTTAAGAGGCATTTCAGAAGAGATTATCATCAAGTCTTCCAACAAGTCTGGGAAAACTAATGCTTTGTTGAAGATGAAAACACTTATCAAATTTTCTTAGATTTAAGACAAGACAACAGTGACAAATATTCAGTATTTGAAGACACTGATAATAAACTTTAGATAAGCAGTTGAATATTCTTAACTACAAAGTAAACAATGAAAAGTTTTCAGGGCAACCAAGAAACACTTCCCCACAAAATTTTTAAAAATTAAAAAATTTCGGATCTTTGGCCATTTTGCAAGATTTTCAGGAATTATCTGGGTTGAAAACTTTCCAGAACCTTCTCCTACATGATTTTCTTTGTGAGTTCAACTTTATATATTTTTGTTTATTGCACGGCAAACATTTGACATTGAGGTATCTCCCAGAATGTGAAAGACAAATTTAGCAAAAACCAATTAGGTATACCCAAAGAAACAAGTTAAAGACTTTTGGTACACATGAGATGCTGTTTCAAATCTGCTGACTCATACATTCAGCATCTGTGCCATCTTTGTCAGAAAGGGATCACCAGTTCTGGTGGTCAATGATGTCACTATATCAGACATATTTAATTTTTTCATGAATTTTACTTTTAAAATTAAAGTGTGTCATCTCAGAATAAAATATATTAAGTCATCTTAGAGCACCTTGAGGTGGTGTAATGGTTAACAAGCTTGTCTCGCTAAAACAATTATGACTGAGTAGTGAGTTCGATTATCATTAGGTGCCCCATACTTTTGATCTTGTGCCACATCTAAGCTACACTTATAAAATCATCTTAAATATAAAGAATATTTTTAATTCTTTCAAAGCAAATATTTATTGATAATTTTGTTACTTTTTTTTTGAGATGTGAAAATACCAATACAAGTAATACTTATGCATATTTCAGTTTTCCAATCAGATTTTTTGATAAATTTTAATTCTTAAATTAATGATTGAATAAGCTCCTTGCAAATTTTAGAAGTTTGAAATACCTCTGGAAATTTCCCTATTGCATTGTTAAATATTTGAGTCTTAACAACTTTAATAAATTTAAATATTATGACAACAATCATAAACAAGACTGCAGGGACACTTCAACATGGTGTAATGGTTAACAAGCTTGTCTCGCAAGAACAATTATGACTGAGTAGTGAGTTCAATCCTCAATGGGTGGCCCATACTTTGGCCTTGTGCCACATCTAAGCTACGCTTGAAAAATCACTATATTAAGTCATCTTTATTCTTAATTTTTTAATTTTAATTAATTTATTAATTCTTTAATTTTAATTAATCATACTTATTATAAAACCCAGGGTGTGTGTGTGTGTGTATGTGTGTGCGTGTGTGTCTGTTCGTTTATATATTGGATCAGATTTCCTACATTTTTCAACCGATTTCAACAAGACTCAACACAGGGGTCTACATCATGCCTTGAGGAGGTAGTGCTGCCCTGGGTTAACAGGGTGGCTGCAGGAAGACTATCTCTGGCAACAGAACTCTACACTCTAGAGCAGGAAAACCCAGTCATGACTGTCAGACAATTTCTATGATCACATCACCCCTTCATCTGGCCACCTATCTCCTCAGACTGCAACCCCCTTGGTTATTACATATGGGGCACAGTTGAACAAGAAATCAACAAAACTCTTTGTAATACCAAAGATGAATTGAAGGCAAGGATTATGGCAACATTCACCAACTTAAACAAGGAGACTGTCCAGAAGAGTTGCAGGAGATTCCAAAGTCATTTGGAGACTGTGGTTGAATCCAATGGTAATTTTATTGAATAAATTTACTCTAGTATTTCAAGATATTTTTGTGTAATTTTGGTAAATATATCTGTTAAAATGAGATGTCAGTGTTATTTTCATTTTTGCATAATTTAGATAACAATTTATTCATTGCACCCTGTATATTGCCTCCTATTCAGCCGTCCGTCTGAATGTACAAATCCTGTGGCTGATCGATAAGATGATCACTTTGATCTAAATCCCAAGTTGTGTTTAGTTTTGATCATAAGGGTGGCAAATATTGAATTGTCATCGGGACTTGTTGTATTAGGTTGGTCCAGGCAGAGTGAAGGCATAAGTAAAAAAAAATAGTCTGAATAAAAATAAATGCTTTTATATATGTTCTTTTATACAGTGCTTAGTCAGGCTTGATGTTAGAATTTATCAATTCCTCATGCAGACAATTATCGACCCTACCGGCTTCTTAACTTGGAACGTGACATTTTGGTTGGTTTGGTTAAGTCTGGCACAAGAGTTATATAAGAGGTTCTCTTCAGGCAGGCAGTGACATGATATCAGGCAACATGGTCATCTCTCATCACAGCGTCTGCAACAACTGTCTCGATTCCTTGCATTTATTGATATTCATTGTTGATTCCCCTATCTTCCAAAAAGAGTCCTTTTGTTGTCTGCCTCTGGAAAATTAATTACATCTTCAAAATCAGGAAGATCCCCTTTTCCTGTGAGTAGAGGTCACAGGTATCAATCCACTCTGATAACTTCTTCCTTCTCTTATTGGCATCTCACACCAGTATTTCCCAATGGGTGTGGGTAATTCCTCCACCTTCCCTGGTATTTCACCTGCGCCTACCACCTTGGATGTACCTTAGCCAATCTAGCTCCTGACCATTTGGCATGGCTTAACTAATGATCATGAATTAAAAAATTATAATTTCAAATTTTGCTTATCATTATTGCAAAATTTTCCCATCATGGTCTTGTCCAAAATCAGATATTTGCCAAATGGTTCTCTGGTCAACCATTCCCCCAACCCTGCACTCCAACCACAAGGAAACTCTATTCTCAAGTTTTGGTTACAGATCAAATCTTATCTGTCCTACTTATTGCTATGTTTTCATAACCAGGTACTTTGGAGCTGGGTCATTAATCAGCTGTCAGCTTAAAGATCGCCACATGGCTTCTTGTGATAATATCACCTTTCCTTAAGTAATTCTTCTGGTTTTAGAGAATTAATCTTTTTTTTGAAAACAGAAATCTTCATTCTTTTCCTCAGTCTGCCTGTCGTTCTATTCATTAACCCTTTCTTCCCATTTACCAGTGCCAAGTAGTGTCACATGTATATAAAAATTAATGACAAAGTGAAAAAAAATTATTTGGGTGATATTTTTCATTCTTTAGGACTTCAGTAGTCCAAAGTGATATTTATGTTGATATTGTCGGAGTTAGCTCCTCCTTGGCTCCATAAGCCGGAAGAGAACAGGTCATTTCGACCTTGACCTTTTGGTTGTGCTCCCTACACGCTGTTAATTATGAGGTAGAGACTAGCAAGTTACTTTTTCAGTTTAGTTATATTATGAACCTAGTTGTAATATACTTCTAGGCATTTTTAGGCCTTGGTTTTCTTTTAGTTAAGCTCTACTCATTTTTTAGATAGACTTTACTGTGTTAGCTTATCAATTCTCTTGCTAGTCTCTCTTACCATAAGAGAGTGACTTCTTGCTAAATTTAAGGTTGGCGACTGAAACGGTCGGTACGCAGGCTCCTGGCCTCCGTGGCCAGGACGTCGACCACTGGGCTGCGTATTAAGTTACGCTCCCATTTCTTTTTGTCTGCCAACTTGACAATAGTTGGAAACTTTGCTTTCTCTCTCTACTTCGACTCTTCGCCTCATGTTCAATTCTCAGCATTCCATCCCTACTGGCTGCCTGCACGTCGTCCATAACCTTTCCCGTACACTACATTTGTAATTATTACGGGAGGTTACTAATATCGGACTCGACCGGCAGACACGCAATGCCTGCACTGGACTTCTGACATGCCCGAACAACATCGCAATGCCATCTCCTCTTTCCTTCCCAACACGTCAAGTTGGCATCCCGGCAACGACCAATATCAACCTCAAACTACAATGACCAGCAGCGATCATCTGCAATGACCGACATCAACTTCAACTACAGCGATCATCTGCAATGACCAGCAGCAACCACATGCATGACCAGCTGCGATCACCTGTAACAACACCTGTAACAACCAACCTCGACCATCAATGCCTGCACCGGAATGTCTGCATCTCTACCATTCCGACCACCTTAATTTCTTTATTACTTTTCTAGAATAAATTAACTTATATCCTATATATCCTCGTTCTGTCGTCTATGTTGTTTTCACCTTGTCAGATTTAATGTCTTCAAAAATGTTAGCGGGCCTCTTGTGACCTCATCACCCTCTTGCGATACGGGGGGGGGCACTCGAGGGGTCCGCTACAATATAACTACACATGTGCATGAAGGGGAAGAGATGCTGGAATTCGAAACATTTAAATTTAAGTTTTTTTATGTGCCTGGGTATATAATCTAGCAAATTTCATCAGGTGGCTGGAATATCGAACAGTGCCAAGGACACATGGCACAGTGGATAAAGGCGTTGGTTAGATCCAGTGACAGGACCCAAAGAGTGTGAGTTCAATACCCGGTTAAGGCAGTGGAGAATTTTCAGAGGGAAAATTAACAGAAAATAACTGATAACTGACATCCATTAAACATGGCACTTGGAACTAGAACAGTCTACCCCAGTGATCGAAATAAAGGGTTCAGTTCGACATTCCAACCACCTGAAGAAGGCCAGAGCATCCAAATATGGCAACAAAGATGAGGACAATAGTCCGAATAATGTAAATAATGTACATAATACCTCATCTCAGAAATATAGACAGATATTATATTTTCTCTTTCAAAGCACACCTAACTTAAACTAATAACTGATTTCTCTTGAATTTTTTTAACACTTCCTAAGAAATTTAATTACAACAGTGCATGAAGAATATTTTTTTCAATAATGTTCACCCACTGGAAGGCCCAAGAGCCACTCAAGGTAAAGAGTTACTGAAGGAGGTTGCTACATGAGCTGTAAGAGTAAGATGTAAGAAGGGCAATTTATGGGGATATGTGAAAAAATTAACAATTAACTCTAGACTTGAAGAGGTTAGGCATCAATATCTGAAGAATCTGATAATAATGTTTACTTTCTGCCTGAATTTCTGAGATGAAGACTTATTATTATTATTTATATACAAAAAATATACTCATTTTTGTTGTTGTTATCACAATGTTTTGGCTGTTATGCCCACCAGCCTTCTTCAGATGTTTATAGATCTGGGTAACATTCAAGGAATTTCAAAATGTTATTGGTGCTGACCTGCCATCTCAATTTCAGTCACTTCTCTACCGCCATAATGTAGCTTCCCTGCACCTTTTCTATAAATACTTTCATTAAAATTGTTCTGATAAACTTTCCCCATCCCCTCCCTCGTTAGGTGGTCAGTGATGTCAGTTCGCTGGTGGATGCGGGACGCCTTTCGTTTTCGCGTGAGTGCTTTTTTCGTATTTGTTGTTGTGTCTGAATGGGTGCTTGTCAGTGTGAGTGATTGGGATGAATGAATGTTTTATACTATTATAGTCCCGCATTGATTTCGGCCAGTGAAGTGATGTTTCTGTCACATTTAGTAATTGTGGGGGGTTTTATTACTAATCTTATTTTCTTTAGTTTCTTGTAAATAGTTTTTTTTTAGTATGCATATTGTTAATACTCATTGGGGTTATCTTTTAGAATTGTTGTTTTATTCCCTGCCCCCCACAGACAACAAATTGTAAATATGGGGACTAGTTAGTATTTTCATAGAGACAAAGAGGTATTATGGTGGTTGTAAGAAAGATACGAATGAATGTGTTGTTTTGGTGTAAGGAATATTGTTCGTACGATTGGGTCAGTGCTTGCAGCTAGCTAAGTTATAGTTAAGACAGAAGAAGACCGTCCTTTCCCCAATCCCCTTTTCGGCCTTGTGCCACATTTCTGCATTGTACAGAATAAATATCACTTTCCCCTATGATAAATTGTAATCATTGTAAATATTAATTGAGGTTTCATTTTTAAAAGTGGTTATTTTTATTCCCCACCCACACAGACAAATTGTACATATAGGAACCAGTTTGGACTTCATACAGATTTTAACCCATTAACAGCCAAATTTTTTTAATGTGCATTTTTGGCCCAGACAGGTGTCTTAGGAGTTTATTTATTCCTTATGTTTAATTTCAGTAGTTACCATTGTCATTTTTATAGAAACTAGAACATCAAATATATATATGTATAAAACATCAAAAAATAACATTGATTAGAAATAATAAAAAATACTTTTCAAAATAGTCATTATTTTTCTACTTGAGAAATGTAAAATTACGACAGAAAGTGTCTTCTTACGGCTAATAATAAAAACTTTAAAGGCTAAGTGTTGTAAAATATATCTCTGCAAATGCAATGTATGTAAGCAATTCAATGTAAATTCAAGGAATAACATATAGTTAGTTTAATTTTAACAGGTCCCCAAATGGGGCTCATGGCAGATAATGGGTTAAGGTATTATGGTGGCTGTAGTAAGAATGGTAAGTAAGAATGTGTTGTTTTGATGTAAGGATTATTGTGATATGTTTGGGCCAGTAATAATGGTTAGCTAAGTTTAAGATAAGTCAGTTATGTGCCATGCGTGATATACGCTTAGGCGATCATGTATCTTTTGATATATGACTGATGAGGCAGATTTTTTTTCCCGCAAAAAGTTGCCATTTCTTTCTGCAGTAGACCAGTTGCCATCCAAGGCTATAGAACCCGTTCTGTCCTGCTATTTACCCATAGCTGGGGGGAGAAGAAGAGAATTCATACCTTTTCCAAGGGTATTAGCATGTAAGTGAATGTAATGGATCTGACTGGAATTTGAACTCGGCTCGCCAATTTCTCAGTCTGAGCTACTATCCATTACTCCACTGTTGCTTCTTAAGATAAGACAGATTGAAAACCGTCCTTCCCCTATCCCCTTTTGGCCTTGTGCCACATTTTTGTATTTTTCAAAATAAATATTACTTTCCTCTATAGGTACATAGACTTTATAAATTTAAGTGCAGTACTAGATTGGTGGGAAGGTCTCATTATTAGTTGAAATGGTTAGATTTAACTGTAAGTTCTATGTTGGTAGTTTCTTCTATCACACTTTTTGCTTGTGGAACTCTCTTTCAGCTTCTTGCTTCCTAGTCAACTTCGATCTTCAAAAATTTATATGCAACATCAATCATTATTTTCTGAATTCTTGTTTTCTTGTTTTCTCTCCTTAATAGTGATTTTTTTTCTCATATTATCTAAGATTCAGTAACATCTTGTGTCTTAGTGGCTTTATTGTCTTGCTTGGGGTGAAATGATTAGGAAAAGAAAAACTTCCCAGGAAGTTACTCAGATCAACAGACACCTGAAGAAGGCCAGAGTGCATTATAGCCGAAACATTGTGATAATAACAATGAAGATGAGGACATTAGTCAAAATGTAAATAATAT